TCCGGGAACCACCCCCGCGGCCAGCGGCGCCCACCCCTCGCGCACCCTAAGGCCACTTGAAGGCCATCCCACGACCACCTGGCGACCACTCGCGGCCTCACCTCCCTCGCCCCCACCCCTGCGGCCGCCGCGCTCCATTGATTCGAGTTGGCGCCGCCGGTTTCCAGAAGCAGTGTATTCTGGCAGCCTCTTCCTAGGTCAGTTGTCCTCTCCATTGGCCGTGACTTGTCCCTGTTTTATCGCGGTGGAGGCTGCCTTGATCTCTGCCACCAGGAATGTGGCGGAGCAAATGCGTCTTATGCATCGGGTGTTAACACGCGCTCCAGGCGCTCAGTGGCTGGAAGGGTCCCCAGTCCTGGGTGCAGAAAGGTAGCTGTGCCCCAGCGGTAAGGTGAGTCCCTGGCGGGGCCCGATAACCTCCTCTCCTGGAGTGGGTGGCACTTCCCTGCCGGCTTCCCCCTGGAGGCTGCAAGGGGCTGTGGGCCCTGCTGGGCGAGGGACTCGCCTTCTTCCCTTCAGGAGGCCTCTGAAGCCCACGTAGGCACAGCAGGCCCCCCACAGTGAGCTGGAGGGGTGTACCTGTATGCGGCAGGACATTGGTATTTAATTTTTAAAGCCGGAGTGACACTTGTTACTTACGGTCTTACGGAAAGCTTGCTGTGGTGCAGTAAGTTTTAAGTGGTTACAATTTATCAAAAGTAACATTAGACTATTTAGAGCAGCCACCATGCTTTCCTCAGTTTCCTTCGGAGCCTCTGGTCCCAAAAGTTTTGTTATCATTTTGAAAATGAGACAGAGTCCTTGCAGAGAAGGCTCACCTTGGCATTCACCGTGGTCTAACTGTGGTGTGGGGGCAAAGGGCATGGGAACTGAGGATCTTTGGGAAGTTTAGGAGGTCATGTCGAGGAGAACTTCCTGAAGTTTGAGATTCTACCCTGTCCTTGTCCACAGCGGCCTCAGGTGTGTTACATGACCTTAGAGGGAGCAAATGGCCTCATGTGCACATTTTGGTCAGAGGTTCTTAGAGAGGTTCTTTTCATTTTCTAAGTAGATCTTGTCTTAATGAGAAGTGGCCATTCAGTGTCGTCTTATTCAGCATCTTCCAGGGATGGGAGTGTAGTAGGAACACAGAACTACACCTTTGAGTCTGATGTTCTCAGAGAGCTAATCTCCCATCCTCAGCTGCTTGAATCACAGTGCTGGGCTTCTGGGATGCTCTGCTGGCCCACACCTGGTCTGGCTTCTAAGTGGGCGACCAACCATCCCACTTTTAGCACCCAAAGTCCTGCATCCCAGGCACACTGGCAGTGTGACTGAGCCATGACTTTCTAGGAATTATTTCCAGGGCTTCCTGGAGCTTTTCCTGATGTCTATATGCTATCCTATGCTTCTCCTAACATTCTGGTAGGAGTTATCTGCCTTCATTCCTATCTGCCCTGCAACTGTAAGGTCCTTCAGAGTAAACAACGGGTCTTCCATCTTCCCATTCCAGTAGTAATGTGTAAGTAGAATGTGTTCCTTAAGTATTTATCAAATTTTTAAATGGGTAAAGTCCGTATAGGTTTGGGTGTTTTCAAAAATACTTGTTTTGCTTTTATAGTTGATCATTTTAGGTGGAGACATGTAATTATTACTTTCTAATTCCTTTGCCATTTGTCCTGTAGGTTCCCTCTGAAGGACTCAAAGCGTCTGATCCAGTGGTTAAAAGCTGTTCAGAGGGACAACTGGACCCCTACTAAGTATTCTTTCCTCTGTAGTGAGCATTTCACCAAAGACAGCTTCTCCAAAAGGCTGGAGGATCAGCACCGCCTGCTCAAGCCCACAGCGGTGCCCTCCATATTCCACCTGACAGAGAAGAAGAGGGGGTCTGGAGGCCATGGCCGCAGCAGGAGAAAGGACACCAAAAAGGCCTCAGGGGGCCTGAGGGGACGTGCAAGTGAAGCTGATGGGAAAGGAGATGCAGGTTCACCATCGCCCTCAAGTGAGAACCTGAAGACTAAGCCAGAGTCCCGAAAGTTGAAGCGGGCTTCCCTGAAGAGTGAAGCCACCAGTCAGGAGCAGGCTACGCAGGGACCCCCTGTTGATGATGCTCTGGCCACGAAAGCCTCAGGCAGCCAGGCCGAAGCAAATGGGCCTGCATGCGATGCTGGTGATGAGAGCAGCATCACCCCCGACAAGGACCTGGTGGATAAGAGTGGCATCTCCATGGATGACTTTACCCCCCCAGGATCTGGGGCCTGCAAATTTATTGGCTCACTTCATTCTTACAGTTTCTCCTCCAGGCACACCCGAGAGAGGCCATACGTCCCCCGGGAACCTGTGGACCGGAAGAGGCCGAAGAGAGACACAGAGCCTGGCTGCAGTGGGACCAGCCTGGGGCAGAGCCCCCCAAGTTCATCTCTGACTGCGACGCCACAGAAGTCCTCCCAAAGTCCCTCTGCCCCTCCGACAGACGTCACCCCAAAGCCAGCCGCTGAGGCTGTGCAGAGTGAGCACAGCGACGCCAGCCCCATGTCCATCAACGAGGTCATTCTGTCAGCTTCGGGTGCCTGCAAGCTCATCGACTCGCTGCACTCCTACTGCTTCTCTGCGCGGCAGAACCGGAGCCGGGCTTGCTGCCTTTGGAAGCAGGTGGAAAAGAAGAATGGTGAGCTCAGGAGCCTACGCCAGCGTGTCAGCCGCTCCGACAGCCAGGTGCGCAAGCTGCAGGAGAAGCTGGACAAACTGCAGAGAGGAAGCATGCTGAGCCTGAGCAGCCTGCCAGCACCCGGCCGCGGTCAGTACCCACCTCAGGCTCCCACTGCCTGTCCCTTAGTGGGTCTTGCTCCGATGAGTCTCTGGTAGTAGCTGGACCCGGTAGACAGGGACTCAGGTGGGAAAGCTTACCTCCAGCAGCCGGGAGGCCTCTAGTTGTGAGGTCAGCTACTCAGTGAATGGGGTCCCAACACTTGGTTTTCCCCTTGCCTGGGGTAAGGTGAACATCTATGGCATACCTCACACAAATTGTAAATGGGTTAGGATCTAAATGTAAAATCAAATAGATGTAGAAAACTTATTAGAGAGGTTCTTTTCATTTACATTTCCATGAATATCCTTAAGGTTAAATAATTTTGAACATTAATAATAATAAGATTTTAAACATCTCTTCAAGTAGAATACATTGTCTTCTGTAGAAATTAAAACACTACAGAAAAATACAGGCTAAGAAATGGTGAAAATTCCTTCTCCCCCACCTCCCAGCTTTTCTCCCTGTTGCTGTTAAAATTTGTTGTGTGATCTTTTAGATTACTTTCCATGCTTATCCTACATATCTTGGTACCTATACAAATAGGTTGAGTATATTTTTTATATGTTTATTGGCTATGTTTCTGTTTTTCCCCCCTATTTTACTGTTTAGTACTTATAAAAGTTGGTTTGTAGCTATTCTTTACATATTGGAGATAGGATCTTTTGCCTGTTATAGATACATGAAAACATCCTGCCACATTATTCATTTAATTTGGATCAGAGTTTGTCTTCGAAGATGTAATTAACACTTCAGGAGATTCTTGTGTGACAGGCTGTTCAGAACTTCCTGGACCCCCCAGGACATCAACCACTATCAAACAAAACAGAAGCAAAAACTAAAACCTGTCCTTTGTGTTTCCAAATAAACCTGGGGGAGGAGCAGCTCATGTGAGGACCACGATGTCCTGGTCAGAGTGACACTGTATTCTCTTGTCATTTTTAAGCTGTTTTTTATTGTTTCTCGATGTTGCTTTTTGGTTACTTTTTCTGTTCATCTTGGTCAAATGTACCAAAGTTTGTCAGTAGGTCTTTCCAAACAGCCAGCCCTCAACTCCATTGTTCAAGTCTGCCTTCTTGTTTCTGCCTCATAAATCCTCACTTTTTCTACTTTCTTCAGTTTCATTTTGTCTTCAGTTTCATTTTGTGGTGGTTCTGGCTCCTGGACTGAGGACTGAGCTTATTCTTGTACATGTATATTTCCTCATACCTCCAGTTGAGGCTAAGCCCTTCTTTGGTCCCTTTGACCTCTCAGTGTGGATTTGCCTCATGTTGCTCTCATTGCTACTCATTTCTAAATCGTTTCCAACTTCATTCTTGATACCCTTTTTAACCCAGGTTATGTAGAAGGAAGTTTACAGTTTTTCAAGTGGATAGATTGGAGATGGGGAGCTAATTTATTTGTAATTATGCTTAAATTTTATTGCTTTAAGTTCCAGTTATATAGTCACTTAATGAGACCTACTTTTTAGAATCTTGAGATTTCAATGTGGCTTAATCTAGTCTGTTTTTGTGTTTCATTGTGGTTTGAGAAGAATGTGCCCTCTCCACCAGTTGGTTACTTTGTTCTCCTGCTGGATCTAGCTTATTTGTAATAGTCAACAGGTCTGTTTCTTTCTCTGCCTAATTTTGCTTTTTATTTGGAGAGCATGTTGTTATAGATATGTGTCTCTGATTCTTACAGGAAACCCCCCTTTGTCCCATTTAAAGTTGTCTTTATCTCCTTATTTTCAACTCTTTTATATCCTCTTTTTTTATTTTTTATTTTTTTTTAAATACATTTTATTGATTTTTTACAGAGAGGAAGGGAGAGGAATAGAGAGTTAGAAACATCGATGAGAGAGAAACATCGATCAGCCGGCTCCTGCACAGTCCCCACTGGGGATGTGCTTGCAACCAAGGTACATGCCCTTGGCCAGAATCGAACCCAGGACCCTTGAGTCCGCAGGGTGATGCTCTATCCACTGAGCCAAACTGGTCAGGGCCTCTTTTTTTAATTAAAGAAAATTTTTTAGAGAGAGAGGAAGGGTGATTTAAAGAGAGAGAGAGAAACATCGATCAATTGCCTCCCTCATGTATCCTAACCAGAGACTGAACCCGCAACCTGGGCATGTGTCCTTACTGGGAATCAAACCTGACATCTTCTGATGCACAGGACGACGCTCCAACCACTGAGCACACTGGCCAGGGCTCCCTTTATTTTACAGTTACATTTAACTCAGTCTGAGAGCTTTTGTCTTTTTATGGAGAATTTAACCCATTTACAATTCTGATTATTGGTAAGTTGAAATTTGGGCCTGATGTTCTGTTTTATTTTTTAATTTGGTAAGCTTTTTTGTTTTCTTCCCTGTTCTTCTAGTGGATGTCTTTCAGCTTTTAAAAATCATTGAAGCCTATCTTTCAGTAACTATTTTGAATTGATCAGTCCCTGTGTTCTACTCTCCTAGCTCCTTACTTTCTGCTCCCCAGGGCCAGACCCTCTGTGGTCTTGGTTCTATATTCTCATTTTCCCTCCAAACAACCATATTTAGTTGAAAGTATACATTTTACTGGTTATTTTATTCACCACTATTTATTGTATCCAGATTTTTTTCTTCTTTTTGGAGATATTTTATGATATTTTTGGAACTCATATGACAGTAAAATTTTGAGAGGAATTGAGTATGAGATACTTAGTATGAGTATGATTGAGTATGAGGTATTAGGTGCTGGTGCCAGTTTTGTATGTGTGTCCACAGTGTGTGTGTGTGTGTCTGTGTGTCGGATGAGGTCAGAGGTGTTTAAAGCCATGGAATTGAATAAGGTTACCTGGAGAAACTGTGTAGCTAGAGAAGGGGCTCAGGTCTAGCCCAGGAGCAGGCTGTGTTTATAGAGGTGCAGCTGCAGAGGATCTGGGAAGGGAGGAGCATGGGGCCATGGGGTGCTCAGAGTCATGGGAGCAAGGGGTGCTGGGAGTCATGCTAGCCAGCGAGGATAAGGGCATTCAGACAGCAGGGGTGCTTGGCTGGGTTGGATACAGCTCTGATTAGAATGGAGGAAAAATGGCTAAACTCAGCCACATGGGGTCACTGGTGACCACAGTCTCCTTGGAGTGGCCAGAATAGAGCTGGAAGGGGGTGGGGGGCAGCAATAAGGCATTTTAAGAGGTTTAGCCATGGAGGGGAGTTGCAAAAGTGGATAGCTGCCAAAAGGGAGCATGGCTTCAATGGGGTTTTATGTGTGGAGACAAGCCAGCAGGTGTCTTTGCTGAGGGGAGTGTGGGCCAGGATGAAGAGGCTAGGGAGGAGTATGCTGGGCCCTGAGGCGGTGCTGGGCTGGGCTGGGCTCCAGGGCCTGGGGAGGGGTGGAGAGCAAGGGGACAGAGGCTGTACGGAGAATAAGAGCCTGTCTGAGCTTCTGCTGTGTTCCCTTAGGGTACGAGGCTGGGCGCTGGCTGAAGTGGAGGGGAGGATGCAGGATTCCAGCGGCAGTGGGAAGAGTGGGAGGGAGAGAAGGTGCCCGGCTTGGTCTCCAAGGCCTGCCCAGAGCTCCAACTGGATCTGTGGTCACCACCTGTGGTCTCTCTTTGTCTTCCTCAAAATGTCTGCTCTCTTGGTGGTTCCCAGTGCTATTAGGAATTTGTTCATCACCCTGGCCGGTGTTCCTAAACGGTTAGAGCGTCAGCCCTCGAACCAAAGGGTCTCAGGTTCGATTCCCGGTGAAGGGCACATACCTGGGTTCCAGATTTGTTCCCTTGCCTGGTCCAGGGAGCATGTGGGAGGCAACCAATCAATCTCTCTCTCCCTCCCTCCCTTCTTCCACTCTATCTAAAAGTAATATAAAAATATCCTCTCGTGAGGATTTACAAAAAAAGAATTTGTTCATCAATGAGGGAGTCTTTTTGATCATTGTGTATAGGTTTCATATTTGAAGGGGCTATCCCTGTGTTTATTCAGTCCATTATCATTAGTCAACCCTTTATTTTTGGGACAGAGCAGTTAGGCCAGTGGCCCATGGGTTCTAGGATTTAGGGTTTGGTCCAGTTACCCTCTGGAAAGCTGGTGCTGATTGTTCTTCTCACAGGGATGTAGTCATCATGATAATCCTGCTTCAAATCCAGGTGTTTACAGGCGTTTTAACCACTGAACTAATTATATTTTATATTCTATTTGAAGCTACGCTAGTGAGGGTGAACATATTTCCCTACCAGTATTTCTTTGTCACTTTCCTACCTGTGCCCATGCCCACCTTGCTCACGGAGGGATGGATGTTTCTGAGATAACAAGGGAATTCACTCTCTGTCAAGTATGAATCAACCATTCCCTCTGATTAATAATCTAATACTTATTTCAAAAAAAATCTGTTCAGCCCTGAATGGTGGGATCACTGGCATTGGCCCTCGCACCAAAGGGTCACTGGTTCAATTTCCGGTCAAGGGCAAATACCTGGGTCGTAGATTCGATCCCCAGCCTCAGTCAAGGCCTGTACAGGAGGCAACCAATCAATGTGTCTCTCACATCAATGTTTGTGTGTTTTTTTTCTCTTTCTCTCTCTTTCTCCTTCTCCCCGCTCCCTCGATTCCACTCTCTATAAATCAATGGAAAAAATACCCTCGGATGAGGGTTTAAAAAAAAAAAAAAGCCTGTTTATTTCTTTTGTTTTATATATATAATTTTTTGATCTGGAGTTTTTAAAACTTTATTGTGGAAAGTCTTAAACAGAAAAGTATAATAAACTGATGAACCTATCCCCAAGTTTCAACATTTATCCATATTGTATATTCTTATTTCATCTATATTTCTACTTACTCTCTACATCCCATTTATTATTTTATAATTAATAGATTGTTTTCATAGGAAAATTTTATATTTCCAGAAAATTCAGCAAACAGTGCAGAGAACACCCCCATGCCCTTTACCCCCAGTTTCCACTATTCATATCTTGCCTTACCAAAACCTGTGTTGTGTGTTGGCCGGGTTCACATTCACTCAAGTGGTGAACCAATATGGATAA